CTGCCTCTAATGAACCCATGTTGGTTGCCCCTAAGCATAAGCTCCCCTGCTGGCCCCTTGTGGACATGTGCCAGGATTATTCTCTCAAAAAGCTTCCCCAGGATCAAGGTAAGACTTAACTGGCCTATAGTTTCCTGGGTCCTCCTTCCTCCCTTTTTCGAAAATGGGAACCACATTGGCCCTTTTCCAGTCCTCTGGCACCACACCAGAGCACCGCGAGTGCTTGTAAAGCCGTGCCAGGGGTCCTGCAATGACATCTGCTAATTCCCTCAGTACTCTGGGGTGGAGATCGTCCGGACCAGCTGATTTAAATACGTCCAGTCCCTCCAGGAGTTTCCTGACTAGATCCTTACTGACCCTAGGTCTGGGTGCACCTCCCCTGGGACCTATGGAGGTCCCGGTGTGGGGGGTGACCCCATCCCTGCTCAGGAAAATGGAGGCACTCATTAGGGGTGAGTGAAATGACAGGGAGAAATTCTTGTTTCAATGGAAGGGGCTCATGGTGTTTTCCCTCTCCCCCCTCCCCCTTCCAGGTACTTATACCCTATATCTCTCGTTATTTGATGTTTTATATTTTATATTTCACCAGCCAATATGGTTTGTTGTGCTGTTTGTGTGTTATACTTTGTTAAACCGATCTTTTGTCAACTGGATGAATATGTCTGCAAATATAAATGCCTAACCTTTATTGAATCCTGCCCCTTTGGGGTGTTGTAGTGTCCCCTATACCCCCTGGTTTATATATGTTATGTTCCCACTACTGTTTTTCTCATTAAAAGATATATGGTTAAGTCTCCATTGGTGATCTGGCTCTGCTCTATAGGGGAAGGAGTGTCCCTACACCTCCCACAGTGCTTGTGCACCTGCTCTGATCCCTTCAATTGGAGAGGGGGTATATCTTGGAGTACTGTCCAGGTTACTGGAATATTGGATAAAAGGGGCACCACTGCATAGCATCTAACCCTGTAAACATCTTTTGAGATGAAGGTATTTTGGAAGTGTGATGGGCTAGCTGGCAGTGACCTAGCCCTGGGGTTTTGAAAGGGCAAAAGATGATTGGCAGACTTGGGATTCCCTTCCTGCACCAATCTGGTAATGATTTGGCCCAGGGGTTTTGAAGAGGTAAAAGATGATTGGAGGACTTGGGATTCCCTTTCCGCACCAATCAGGCCCCAGAGACACACCCTCCGTGTCCTCTGATTAGCCCCTTGGGTCACCTGGAGGGGATAAAAGGGGCAGCATGGCTGACTCAGGGGAGACCAGCGAGGGACAACAAGGAAGGAGCTTCACAGAGCTGGCAAGAGCTGAGCCAGCGGGGCAGAAGCAGTGCCCCAGAAGAGCCTGAAAGAGCAGGACCTGCAGGCAGCAGTGGGACCCTCAGCAGCGCGGCATGCGGCCGGCAGGAGAGGCTCCCCACTGGGCTCCAGGATCCCCTAGGAGAGGCTGCAGTCAGCAGGAGAGGCTCTCCCCACTCCAGCAAGGGTCTGAGCAGTGGCCTTAGAGGTTCCCAGCTCTGCTTCCAGCTCCTCCAATCAGAGGCCAGGCAGCTTGACATGAGGCCGGGGCTCCAGGAAGGTCAAGACCCCTAGCAGGCTGGAGTAGTGCCACCACTGGTGGCTGTGTGGCAATGTTTCTGCCTTCCACGTGGGAGATCTGCATTCAAGTTCTAGCTGGGGTGTGTGAGCTAACAAGAAGCAGATCCTCCAGTGGAAAGGGGCCATTGTGTTTTCTCTCTTTCTCCCCCTCCAGGTACCTAGGCCCTATATTTCCTTGTCAATTGACATTTGTATTTTGTGCCTTTTTATATTTCACCAACCCGTATTGTTTGTTCTGCGGTTTGTCTTGTATATTTTGTTAACCCTGTTTTTTGTCAATGATTGTAAGCGTCTAACCGTTGTTGAGTCCTGCCCCCTTGGGGTATCGTAGTGTCCACTATACCCTCTGCTTTATGCCTGTTATGTTCCCAGTATTAAAAGATATATGGTTAAGTCCCCATTGGTGGTCTGGCTCTGCTCTATAGGGGGAGGAGAGTCCCTACACCTCCCACAGCGCTTGTGCACCTGCTATGATCCCTTCAATTGGAGAGGGGGTACCCCTTGGAGTACCACCTGGGTTACAGAAGGAATCTGCAACTACTTGGCATAACTAAAAATATGTTTTTTATGTGAATTTGCTATTTGTTGGGGAAGGGGGAAAACCTTGTTCTACGTCCATGCACTTGTGGCTTGGGTGAGCCAACTTTAGCAATGGGAAAATCTGTGGTGCTCCCTGGCTTCTGTTCCCCTTCAGTGGGTTCCTATGTATGTAGCAGGCTCACCTTTCAGAGCTTGGGTTGAGTCCCAGGCTTGAGATCCTGCTGTTTTGATTGGTGGAGCCCATTCACCAGTCAGGAGGCAGCAAGAGAAATAACATCATGCCCCTTTCCTGAGGGGAGGGGGAGAAGAGCTCCCCCAGACCCAATTGAAGACTGCAAACTGTCAGGTCTGGAAGACTTCAGGGGCGGAGCCCTGGAGCGTATAAAAGGAGCTGCGTGCCCAGCATGCGGGGAATGCATCAGGGACAGAGAAGAGAGAAGAGTGGGGCTTAGAAGACTTAAGGAGAGCTGCTCAGCAGGGCAAAGCAGTAGCCCAGGAAGAGCCCCTGAAGACTTCTATCAGTGGGGAGCGGCCGATGGCTCCAGTGGTCAGGCTCTCGGTGCACAGCACGGCGTCCAGACCCTGGGAGCTGCATGAGGCGACCTGGGTCTGTAACCTCTAGCGTGCAGCCAGAGACACTGCACAGGTCAGTGCACAGAGCAGGATCTTCAGAGCCCCTGGGGAAACTCAGGTCCTCAAACCCCAGAACGAGGCTGGGAGCTCAGTGCAGGAGGCGCTGCATGGAGGGTGAGAGACACTGGGAGCTGCTTGAGGTGGCTCAAGTCTACAGCTGCTGGCACAGGGCAGCAGCTTAGTGCAGGCAATGCTGCCCAGAGGGTCCAGGAGCAGACTGAGCCCCGGTGCTGCACAAGACTGTCCAGGCCTCCAACCCCTAGCACAAAGCAAAGGGTCCACTATACACAGCGGTGTCTGTGGCCCTAAGCCAGGACAGTGGCAGCAGAGTCGGGTGGCAGGAAAACCCGGTGGGGAACAGAGCTCAATCTGGAGAATGGAAGGCAACCCTGGGACTGTGGAGTAGTAAGTTACCCTGGAGAGAAGGTCCCCACAGGGGAAGGACCCCCCGAAGGTTGTGAAGGGGCACCATGTGGCCCACTCCTGGGTGATAGCAAGGGAGCTTAGGAGTTTTTGGGGTCTTCCTCTCCTTTTTCTTTCCCCCCACATCCTTTCCTGTAGTGGTACCTTAGGAGTGGGGCCCCTTCCCTGGAGGGCATCCAGATAGTCTAAGGACTGCTGGTTATATTTGTGGACAGTGCCTTATAATTTATGTGAATAATTTGAAGTAATAGTTTGTATATTCATACAGTTACAAGGTTGCCCAATCAATATATCCTTTGGTCTGGTTTGTTCTATTGTTCATCTGTATTTTTAAATGATAACGTGTGTGTGTGTATGTATATATAATCTATGTCTTTACCCTTTAATGGTTTTGTTGTAATTGATTGACTGGGCCTGACTATAGGGGACAGAGGCAGCTGCTGGGCTGTTGTGTCCCTCTGCAGCACACTGCCTCGCCAGCAATTCCCACAATTGGAGAGGGAAGTACAAACACGTTTACACCCGGGCAACATGTATATACAATCAATTCCATCACATAAGCTCATTTCCTTTTGGCCGAGGGGCTGCACACGGGCTTCCCGTGCACCAGGGTTCTGCTTCCACTTGCTTTCCCTCTCATGTCATTATTATGGGAAAAAAGCCAAGTTCTCTGGAGAGAAGCTTGTAAACTACAGACACAGGGAGAGATCTCAGTCCAGTAAGAGTCTTTGCAGCCTCATTTGATAGCACTGTTTATGTCTAGTTCACTATTCTTGGTCCAGAAATTATAGGGTTCTTCAGTCAGAGGGAAGCCCAAGAGCTCTAAGCCAAGCTGCCAGTCATAGACATAAAGCTGTGCAAGCGTTGGCAGTCTAATCTATTTACATCTTTAGCTCTTCATATGTCTGCCTCTTATCTCTATTAAGAATGTAAGACATGCCATACTGGGTCAGACTATAGGTCTGTCTAGCTCTGTATTCTGTCTATTGCAGTGGCAGAGTGTGTCTGTAGTATATTCGCCCTAGTATTTATACAGCAGATTACATTATCATTTAACAATCTTTATTTGTATTACTGTGGTGCCTAGAGACCTCAGCCGAGATCATGGCCTGATTGTACTAGATGATTACAGGCAGTTCCTGACCCAAGAAGTAGGACAGAAAAAAAGGCAAGAAGGGAAACAGGTGAAGAGTCTTACCCAAGGTCACAAAAGACAGGAGTAGAACCCAGGGCTTATGAAGGCCAGCCTAGTGCGCTATGCCTACAGCAGTGGTCTCCAAAGTGGAGTGCGCACAAGACGATCCATTGGGGTGTGGGAAGAAAATATTAGAACGTCTATTTATATTTATAGTTATATAAATATACATATATTGGGGGTGCATGCTCAAAAATTTTTTACTGATAGGGGTGAGCAATCAAAAAGGTTTGGAGACCACTGGCCTAGACTATACTGCCTTTTACAGCTTTTGCTTTAATCACACTCCTCTGTGAAGTGTGATTTCATGTCCTTTATGTGTGTTTTTCTTTGTGTATCCTTTATAGTTCAGTGTAATGAACACCTTCTGCTCCATTTTTCATCCACTTGGGTGCAGTGTGTCTTGGACATTCCTTGGGGCTATTTGTATCCCAGATCTAGTGTTTTGCATGACAGAAACGTGAGACTGGAAGAGACCTTGTGGGGCATTGGGTCTGTCCCCTTGCTGTTACAAGCAGCTGTGCCCTATAATCAAGCTCCATCTGAAAACAAGTTCTGTTCTTTGCCTCCTTTGGATTTCTGGATTTGGATACATCCCCGTCTACTACATGCTGCATGTGCTGTGCTTCTTTGCTGGCCCAGAGGGAAGGAGCTGGCTAAGGGATTCACGTTCTATCTCCTCTGGCAGTTAGAATTCCCCTTCCATTATTTGTGGCAGAATGATTTCCCTTCCTTGATGGTCCTGATAGTAATTTTTTCCTTCCTTCCCTAGGGGCAATGGCAGGGTTCTGCCAAAGCATCACTTAGGAAAAGACAACAAGAATAAGCAATGTGCCTGGCACGGTGTGATTGGTCCCAAGAGCTACTGCTAATGTGTCCCCTCCAAATAGCTCCAGCCTCTTCTGCTATTAAGAACAGCCCTAAAAGCCTGTAACCCCAGTGAAGGCATTGAGAGGACAGTCATTCACTTGCCCCCCATCAGTGTAACTACAACTGTGACAGGAAAAAGTCCTGGTAATGTTAAAAACCCCTGCTGCTGAAATGGAGTCTGCTTGGATCTCTGCACCTGGAGTGGTACCCAGACCCCCTGGATGATGTGGAGGTGGAAGAGTGCTCTGGGCTGAGGGCCTCAGGGTGGGAGATCCTTGCTGGCGAAAATGCCGCTAAAGACTGTGCTGCTGCTGTGGCTGTTGCCATAAACCTGGGCAGCGGGAAAGGGAAAGCCCAGGCTGGGCTTGAAGTGCTGAGTGGTGCTTTCGGAAGGAAAGAGGAGGATGAGGTGACTGGATTGTTTAAACAGCTGCAATGAATCAGCAGCTCCCTTCCCCTCCCCCTGCTGCACAGCAGCACACACCCTACCCCCCCACCAAGCAAAACAAAATGATCCCAGAAAAGTGTAATTCCCCACAGTGCTGCCATTCCCCACTGCAAGCATGGACCAGGGCACTAGCTAGGGAGGAAGGAAAGTTGTTTTCAGGTGAGATGCAGAGTCGAGGAGATGCCTCCAGAGGATGGGGAACTGCAAAGATTGCTCTCATACCAATGGTACAGGATGATAGAGGTCATAAATAGGGGGTTAGGAGGAAGACAAAGAAAGAAAAGGTGCTTGTACACATGATGGCATTACTATGTACATGTGACCAAAACGTCACTTTGCATGGCTTAATGGGGATTTTAAATGAGTTTGCACTGCTGCAAACTAAACTACACGCTGATGTAGTTTGCAACGACAGATTACAGCTATTAGTTACCCCCCAGGGAAAGGTGGGCAGGCTTTGCAGAAAAAAGTATCAGGCCCCTTGCCGCACCTGCTGAAGGCAGAAGTGGTGAGGTGTCTGATCATTTTTTTTTGGCGGAGCCTGCCCACCTCTCCTGCAGCTGAGGAGCAAGCTACCAGCAGGCCAAGCAGCCCCTGAGCTGTGGGTCCTGGTCCTTCCCTCTGCAGCAGCAGCACCCCCTTCCCCCCCCCCCCCCCC